TCGTACATAATTCACATGAAAAACTTGAAGGTGTAACACTAAATATTTAAATTATTAGTTTTGAATTATATAAATCAAATTGAAGTTAAAGATAAAAATTGATTCGATCATGACATTGACTTTATAGACAACATTTTAACTAAACAAATGTGTTTTGTTCAATTTTCTTATTAATATTTTATCTTATGATAAAATGCAAGCATCATTTTCAGTGATTTTCTCATCAGAAAAAAACAACATAGTGATAATCAAGTAACCTTAACGATAGGAAATTGTTATTTTAATCTGTCAATATTCATAGATAACTTGAAATCAATTTTTACTTATATGCATTTAAAAATTCTTGATTATAAAAAGCTATATCATATTTTTTTCGATTTACGTAGAGACGTTCGACTAACATATCTACCGAAAAAAATCTATTTTTATCAACCTAACATAAACTTTATCTCATCCTATGTCAATATTTTAACCATATCTTTTGATAATGATGACATTATCTGTCACCATTAACGATGCATATGATATCAAGCATCAATATTAACATCGACAAGTATGTATTAAATATACGATGAGAACCAGTCCTGAATCTTAGCTGTTCTCATGATCACTAAAGCATATATATTACAAAGAAAAGAGATCTATTTTCGTAAGTCTTAAATCTATTGTTTAAAAATGTATGCAGACTTACCAAATGTAGATTTTATGTAAAACATCGAGAGATTCTAATTTGAAGTTTGAGGATCATGTAGCAATTTTTTCTCAGAAAAAGGTAGTCATTTAACGATTGTTTAATGAAATAGACAAAAAGAATATTTATAAAAAAAATAAATGGTTTGGTAGACCTTTTAGAATATGACAATATTGTTTTGAAAAGCAATTTTTATAAATAGTTAATGATTACTTTTATTTTAAATCTTGCTTCAACTAAATCTTTTATCATTCTGTTTCAGTGTTACAGTTGAAAACGTCTCTATATAAACTATATCCATTAAATAATGCGATTAATCAGTTCTTTTCTTTTCATTATTGATATAAAAACATAAAACTCAGAAGAAAATCTTTTTGAAACATCCCCTAAAATCAGAAAACTTGGTAAGCCTGGATGTATACCTATCCTTCACTTGAAACTAATCAATATCTGTAACACATCATTTTATGGGCAAAGATAATTTGTAATCATGAATCTTAACTATCAGTGACTACTTGGTAGATATCTCAAATATTTCTTGTGTTTATTTTTTTTTTTTGTTCGTTGACTATTCAAAGATGATTGATAAGTTAAGTAATTTTTCTTCTATCTGATTATGACATAGTTTCACAAACCATTAACATTCCACACTGAGAATATTTTAAATTAGTGTATGAAATTTTTCTTACGTGGATGGAATCGTTGCTTTCGTTACATTATTACTTTCATATGTACCCAAATACAATTGTCTTTCTGTATCACTATATGTTAAATTTGTTTTTAAGATATCATCAAATAGATTTATTTGTAGATCATATAATCGATTACAGAATTGTGTTACTTTTAATATATAATCAAATAAAATTGGACGAAAACACATAGAAATTTTTGAACGAAGATTATTATCTAATTGTTGTTGTTTGGCACAACGTAATAATAAACATAAACAATGTAAAGCAAGCATTAAACTTCTTCGTCGATAATGTATTGTATTCATAGATTCACGTCGATTTGAACATAAATCAAGATATTCAATAAATATTGTTAATGTATCGGCTTGTAATGATATATTTAATATTTCATAAATAGGTTTAATTAATTCATAAAAATCTTCAAATTGATTATTATCTGTTGTTGTTGTTGTTAGATGATTTAATTTATGAAAAAATAATATTTGTATTGCATCAAGTAATTTTAATGTTGGATTGGATGATTCATCAATTGTTATTGATAATAATGTTTTTGTTAATTGAAATTCATTTCTATATAATTGACAAAGAAATGGAAATAATTCTGAATAATATTCAATTATGTTAGTAGTAAAATTTTTACACAAATAAAGAAATGCATTTGATGATTGGATTTGCATTACTTCACATTGATTTTTATCAGTTCCAACTATTAAAAAAAAAAATAAAATTATTTAAATAGAAAAAACTATTAATATAATTGCTGCTGATAATCACAGATGACTACAGCTTATAGGATTCAAAAATTTTCGTATCCCGAACCGATGGATTCTATTCAATACTATTATCTTACCAATTGATTGTTGTTGATATGATTGAAATGTTGTTAGAAGACGTTGAATCATTTGTATAGCTAATGGTTGATCATGTTGTGTTATAAAAAACATACAAGAAAGTAAATTTAAAACATGTCCATGAATATGTTCACTTAAATTAGGTATAAATTGTAATAGAAATTTTAATGTACGTAAAAATTGTTCTTTTATTGTTGGTGTTATTAATAATAATTGAAATTTTTCTTGAAATTTTATTGTTGTTGCTGATGAAGAAAATAATTCTTTACGAATAATAAATAAAATATGATCAAGTAATAAATAAAATGCTTCCCATTCAATGATTAAATATATTGAAGATAATGATGATGACATTGAATTACAAGTTTTATTTGGTGTACGTTGTACAAGAGATTCAAGATAGATAAAAAGATTTTCAAGTATTAATTTTAAACATGACATATTCATTTCAATATCTATTCAACAATCAAAAGAAAAAAAGAATTGTTTATTTAGTAGGAAATTATGTTAATAATAAGATTTAAACTCGAAATATGAAAATTGATATAAAGATTTTCATTTCAACTTTAATTCAAATCATTCTCTTCCTCTTGTAAAAAAAAAAATTTGAAAGATAAACATAAAGAAATGTTGACAAAAGTTTCTATTTTAAATATTTATAAAAATATTTTTCAATGTTGAAAGATTTCAACAACATGTACTAAAACCTTCTATAGAAATATTCGTAATAGAATTTAAGTAAAAAACAAAGAAAAACTGCGGTCAATTCCATTTGTTATTAACTGTATTGTATATTCTGAAGTACAGTTTCAAGTGTCTTGATTAATTTTAGCTATTGATATATGATAAGACTAATTTTGTCATATGAGATATTCAATGATAAGTACATAAATTGCATATGTAACAAGTCTATTTTATGCCCTAGTGTCTTGTAAACTCTTAAACAATGAAATTTAGAGACGTAACAAAAACTTCGTAATTTTACTTTTATGTGCAAAAGTGGAATTTCAGTCAAAGAAATTTTCGAACCACAGTGTTAAGGTTCTATTCAGTTAGATGCCGTCGTGCCTAGAAATGTTCAATGTACCGATTATTTATAGAAATATGTTTTGTTATGAGCATTAATAAGGGAAAATAGAATTGAAATTCTAAATGGACTTTGGATTGAAAACGAAAGTGCGATAAAAAGTTAGGCTTAAACGAAACTTCTTTCTTGTTTCAATGTGAACGTTATCAAAGATCAATTTTAGAGATAAAATCTTTGACCCTTCATGCCAGAGATGGAACCGGTACCGGTTACCGGCCGGTCAGGTCCGGTACCGGTACGAGTTTTAGACCGGCCGGTCTGCCGGTAGACCGGTCGATTGCTGGTCTACCGGTCGATGACTGGTCTGTCTAGTTTACTGTCCTGCTTTTATTATATATAGTTATATGAAAATTTCTTATTTGTTCGAATATTATCATGTCTTTAGGATTTTACATGATCACTTTTATATCATTATTACTCTTTTTTTTGTTCCATGGAATTACAAAAGAAATGTCGGATCAGTCGGTATGTACCGGTACGAGCTTTCGATCGGCCGATCTGNTGGATATTTTCCTTTTCGATTTATGAAATACAGTAGTTTTAGGTGTCTTCATCATGTATATTCATTATTTAGTTATACACAGTAAATTTTAATTTTTAGAAAATCGAGATACAAAAATCCTGAAGAATTTTCAAATTTTTATACATCGCTGAGTAGAATTCAATTATTTACCAAGTCAACCGTGATCTTGTATTGATTAGAAAATCAAAATACATTTCACAGGAAATGTTATTGAACTTATAATCGATGAAAAGTCATTGTTCATCTATAGATAAATATTAGATGATAATATTTAATTTTCATTCACTTCATCGTTAGCAGTAGCAACTGGCACAATATGTTCGTGGCTGTAATAGCTTCGTTTCTGTTTTTTCTCGTTAGAAAGGTCTAATAATGTATTGTTTTTTTTTTTAGTTTACAAAATATTCTGTATGTTTTATTTATTATACTTCTATTGAGAAATAACTATTGGACTTTTGATAGTTTTTTGCTCAGTCGAAATATTTGTTTTAAATTATAATTTAATCGATTGTTATGTTGTTTATATTGTTCAAAATCTTTGATATATTTATCATGTTAGTTTCTTTTATTGTTAATAGATATTGGAATGCTTCTGTTTATTTTAATTTTATCCTAAGTCTTTTCAATTGTTTTTTGCAAATTATAAATGTGAAGTACAAAGATAGTAAAATAAATAGAAATAAAAACAAGTCTAAAAGTGAATAATCAAATCGATTTTCAGTTTAATAGAAAAATATTCAAGTTGTCACATAGTGTAGGATTTTCTAGTAGTGTCTATATGAATCCATTTGTGATTTCCTTAATGAGAAATTCAAAATTTGAATTTCGGTTTTCTTAAATATCTCATTTTCTCGAAAATAGAAACTCATCAACACATTTATATGGATCGTCTTAGAATATCATTTTCTATTCTTTATAATTTATTCATAAATTGAAAAATTGTTTAATCTATTTTAAAAATCTTATAGAACATATTTTAATAGAAAAAAAGTGATCTATATAACGAGTGAGTAATATATTGCCATAGCTCAACAAGACATTTATAAATTACTCATTTGACGCACTTGTTAGTAAAGAAAAATAATAATTATAGTTATATTCTGCATGAAATTATATTGAATTATTCATAAAAATTAATATTAAAAATTCTTATATTTGATATCAGGCTGTTTTGTTCGATTATTTCAAACTCAAAATCATTTTTCTTTGTGCATGGCATAATAATTCATGTATGAAACCTAGTACGATCGGTACTAGTAAATGATTTCTATTATCATTGGAATTGCATTTATAAATGGTCAAGTACATAGGAAAAATAGATAATATGATGTTTTACTGTCCATATACAGGATTCAATACATCTTCGGTTAAATGTATTAATTCGGAGAAGTATGTAAGTTAAAAAGAAGATTGTCTACGTTTTGAAATAAATCATGAACTAAATTTATGTAGATATAATCATACCTTTATTTATCTGTGACTAAAATTATATCTAATAAATTTCGATTATTCTTATTCATTGAGTATTCACTTCAGTTTAATTATCCTATTTTTTACTTGTTTCGAAACAAAATAAAATAAGAGTAAGTAATTTATATTATTCTTATTCTTAAATACATTGAATCGATCATTTGAAAAATTTGAGTAAAGTATTTTGTCGCAAGAAATTCAAAATCATGGTAGAATTATCAATAAATGTATATCATATAATTGTATACGAATATTTTCATATAGCATAAGCTAAATACACGTGCTCGTGCACTGATTTCGATTCTACGTCGATAAAAAAAATCAATAAATCATTCAATAATGATGTATAATTAATATGTGGCTGTGCATATGATTGTGCACGGGTAAACATGTCCACTTCAGTCACACCTAATCTATGAAATTATGTTGTCATGAATGTTGTTGTTTATTTCATTCTTTCGTTTTCTTGTGACACTACACACAAAGTAATTAAAAACTAAAACTTGCATTTACATTTTCCACTGCATTATTTAATATGGTATAATGAATCATAAAAAACAAACAAGAACAACTGAATAATAGACAACTGATAGATGAATCAGTAAAATAATTTTGTTTGTAACAATATATTTGTGGGTGTGAAAAGAAAAATTCCTTTTGAATATTATGAAAAAGATATTGAAAAAAATTGCTATTGAAAATATTTATTATTTGTTAACAAAAGATTTCAGTTAAATTTATAAATTACAGAATTTTACTTCAATTGAAAAGCACTAGTTCTTTTCAATTATACATAAATTCCTGTAGTATATTGTTTATTAAAAAGATCTATCAATTAAAATAATATTATATATATATATATATATAATGTATATTATTTTTTGTTCTTTTAAAAATTTCACATAAAATTTAGAAATAATATTGTTATGAAAAGAAAAACAATTATTGATTGATTATTATGTAACAAGAGAAATGTCATGTTACATTTTTTTTTCATCGAAAACAGTCATTTCTGATACATATTCATTTGTTACTGGTTGTATATCTAATTCTGTTGCAAGATTATCAACACCCATAACTAGCTGATGCTGTTGTGAATGGCGTAGTTTTGAATGCCAATAACCATACGCAAAATATATAATTTGACCGATACCCATCCAAACAGCAAGTCGAATACCGGTTTCTTTTGAAGAGGTTACCATAAGTAATAGACAGAGGAGTGCTCCAATAGGAGGGAAAACCCAAGGTCCCAAAGGAACCCGAAAACCACGTGGTACATCTTTATGTGTAAAACGCATCTAAATCATATTATATGAAAACAAACAAGTCAATTACTACCATAAACTTACAATAATGACCGAAAGATGCACAAGAAAAAAGGCTACTAAAGTTCCAATCGATGTCATTTCACCAAGAATGCCTAAAGGAAAAACAGCAGCAAATGTTGCACAGACTACACCTAAATAAATAATATTGTCAAAAATTTCTATTGATAAAAGCAAATGAAAATTTCTATACCAATAATAATTGTCGACACCCAAGGAGTTCTAGTACGAGGATGAACTTTAGCAAATATCGATGGTAATAGACCATCATGAGCCATGGAATAGAATATACGTGATTGTCCGAGAAGACTAACAAGAGATACACTTGTCAAACCAGCAATAGCTCCCAAATCGATAATAATTGGCAGCCATATTCCATGTGGTGTGCCTTTACTAAAATATAGTTTTTTGTTTCATATATATATTTATGTATGTAATTTATAAGAAATGATATAATCTTTACATTGCTTCTGAGATTGGACTTGGTGAATCAAGTGTTTGATATGGCACAATACCAACCATTACAGCGCATACGCCTATATAGAGTACTGTAGAAATCAATAATGAACCAATGATTCCAATAGGCAATGAACGTTGTGGATTTTTCGTTTCTTGTGCTGTTGTTGTAACCGAATCGAAGCCAATATAAGCAAAAAATACAACGGTCGCACCATGTAACATGCCAGTCACTCCATATTTATTAAAGCTACCTACACAAATCGATATTGTATTAAAAAATAACCCGTTTTTTTCTCCTGTGATCGCTTTTACCTTCATTGGGAGGAAAGAAAGGTGAATAGTTACTGCGCTTAGTATAACCACAACACGCAAAGATGAATAATAAAACAACAAGAATTTTAATTATAACAATCACAGTGTTGACTTTTGCTGATTCACCAATTCCAATAATGAGTAATATTGTGAGTGCAACAATAATCATTACTGCCGGTAGATTAATTGCGTTTCCTGTACGATAAAAAGAGTTTGATTCGTCGCTCCAAGCAACTGGTGCTTGAACAATTAATTTTGTTGCATTGTGTTTTGATACAGTTTCAATAAAATGAACAACATAACCACTCCAACCTACAGCTACTGTAGCAGCGGCTAATAAATATTCGAGAATTAAATCCCATCCAATAATCCATGCTAAATATTCTGTAAAGGAGAAGAAAATGAGATGATCACTTATTTTTCTAAAATATCAAAACAACTTACCACCCATAGCTAAAGAAAAAAAAAATAATAAATAAAAGAAAAAATTAATCAATGTTCTAACATACTAGCATAAGTATATGAATAAGCTGAACCTGATATCGGTACCATTGAAGCCATTTCAGAATATGAAAAAGCTGCAAGTCCAGCAACGATTGCAGCAATAATAAATGAAACAATAATAGCAGGACCAGCATATTTAGCGGCTGCTTCGCCACTCAATACAAATATACCCGTACCTATCAAAATTTTTTTTATCAAAAAAAAAAGAAGTTATTTATATATTCATTTCACTTACCGATAATACTACCAATACCCAATGCCAATAGTTGACATGAATTTAATGTACGCTTCAATTCATTAGTACCTTCAGCTTCAGTTTGTAATTGTGTAATAGTCTTTCGTTGAATAAGTTGAATCCCAAATCTTTTCAAAGAATAATATGCTTTTTTATTATTTGGACTATTTCGCACTTTTTCTGTTAGATTTGTCAAGAATTCCGAGCGTACCATTTGAACTATGCAAAGACTCAAATATGCAGGTGTTTATTCTATCAGTCGATGCTTTAATATTTGTTTATATATATATGTTTCTCTATCTCTAAACGACTCTGTAGTATGCTGCAATTTACATTAAATAGAGAAAAAAAGAAAAGAAAAACAAAGTTTCACATGACGAACTGTGATTAACATACATTATACGGCCCTATACTTCATGTGAAGAAAAAAGAAAGTGTACATGACAATAACAAGAGGAAAAAATATATATAGACCATTAGCTAGAAGCACTAGTATTACTTCCTTTACCTTTTTTTTTATACGAAACAAGTAATATGTATAAACATTATTTCTGTAATTACTCATTTTTCTTTTTATATCACAAATTTTCTTTTAGTTTGATATTTTTTGTCACATCTTTCTATATCCTTTTGCCCTCAACTCACTCCAAAAAAAAAAAAAGGAAATATCAAAATAAATATTCACAATATGACGGACATTGATGATAAAATCTTTTCTACTACAGCAAACTATAAATTAATTTGAGACGTAAAAACATCAAATTATATCAACCGCAATATATTTCAGATATGTCAATAAAATCTAACGTCCGTAAATTGCCCATACTTTCTTCATTACATATTCCAATATCTTATCGACGATATCAAAATCGTGCTGCAGCTGTATATGATATTAGTATTAATTGTCATGATATTGAAACTATATGTCATATACATCGTTTATCAAAAATTATTATATTACAAGATTGGAAAGGAAATTTTGATTATTTACAAAGTAAATTAAATTTAAATAATAGAAATGATATTAAACAAAGATTTTTAAAAATTATGAAAGATATTGAACATAATAAAATTCAACCAACACTTGGTAAAAATAGATCATTTTGATTTTAATTTAAAAAATTCTTTATGTTTTCTTTTTTTTTGTGCGTGTGTGTGTGTATTGTCCATTAGCGGCTATTGTTCATTATATACCATTTATTTATATTGAACAAGCAATAGCAGATCAAGATATTACAAATGCATTGAATCGTTTTCTTGATGATTTTAATCCAAAAAAGATAATGAAAATAGAATCTAAAAAAGATAATATTATTCAACAACAATTAAATAATGGTCAACCTATTCTAACATCATTTGAACAATATTTACTTCTTGAACATCTTATTAATTCAATATCAATAAAGAAATTTCGAAAATTAATTGATATTGAAAAATGTCTTCTTGAATATATTCAATTAATTATGAAAACAAATTATTCATCATTAAATAATATTTCTTATATAAATAAAACATGGTTTAAAACATTTCTTCAATGGGCATATCCTCAAATAAATTCAGATAATCTATCTTGGTTAGATATAAGTCAATTATAATTATTTGTATATCAATAATGTCTTGTTATGATTTATATCAATGAAAAAAAAAAAAAAAAAAAAAAAAAAAACGGTTCAGATATAAGTTGTTTGTTATCTTTTCTTGTTATTTCTAATAAAAGAGAATGATTAATAAATTTCATAAATATAAGATTTATTTATTCACAATATCGATACATAAGAAAGAAACCCTTGAGCATATACTCGTTGAACAAATGTCTAGACAATATTAAATGTAATATGATGTCTTTGAATACTAAAACAGATCTTTTTACAATAGAACTATTGAACGATCAATAAAAGTATATGTAACTATATTAAAAGAAAAAAAAACAAAATAACTATGATAATTAATATAGTTATAAAAGATACATATAAACAATAAAATATAAATAATTCAAAAGAATGACCTTAATCTATTATCAATATAATCATCTTATTTTACATAGCTCATGTTTATATAATCAATTTTTATTTTTCAATCAAATGAACCAACTGACCAGATGTATTTTATTAGCAATATCACACAAATAATCAAGTGTTAGATATTATCGATGAATGAATGATATTCTATCGAGAGAAAATAACATTATGTATCTTAAGACATTTCTTTAATTGATAATCATCGATATATTAGTTTCGAAGTTTTCTATTATTTTTACAAATCGAATATTTTCTTCAAGTTCAATCGAAATACAAAAGACAAGTATTTTTTAAAAAAATGTGTAAATAACACAAAATCACAAAGATCGACAATGTAACATTTCCTAAAAAAAAAAGAATCAAAATCAAGTTGATGCTTATTATTTAAGAAATTCTATTATGTTTACATTTTATTTGCATATATACTTAAGAAAAAAAAAGAAGTTGGTATATAAATGAAAGGTTACATTTCTTTTTGTATGATGCCAATCGAACAAACTGATCTTATTCGTATTAAATAAGAATACTATCAAAGTCACCTTTTTCTTTTTCTAATATCGATCTTGATAAATTTCTTTTTTTTGTTGTATACTTACTCTACACTTAAAATTGTGTAATGAAATGGTGATGTAATTTAATATTTATGAAAATTTTAAAAAGAAAAAGAAATTTCTTTTTTTTTTTTAAAGTTTCGACATGACATTTATATATAGTCATTAATATTTTATTCTAATCTTTAGAAAGAACTATCTATTTATATACTTATCAGTTTGTTCTACAAATGACGTTTATATATAATATGATCTTCATCGGATGATCTAATGTGTAAATATTAATTTACTAAGAACGTGACTAACTTAGACAAATAAATCGATAAAAATCATATATTATTCAACAATAAAAATATAATCTTGTTGTTGAATTTTTACTCTTAAATTATAAATATGAATTATCAACATCGATGTTATTGAATAATATTTTTTCAACCAAATACATTTGATATAGACAATGTGTATAATTGAAGATCATAATCGAAATGAGAAAGAAAAAAGATTATGTCATAAGGACATTTACTGTTTATAATGTATTACGAAACCTTTTAAGTGAACTTTATAGACAATTTAGAGAAAAATAATGTTTTAAACTTTTCAATAAAGAAAAAAAGTCTGTCAATCAAATGACCCATTTATATTAATGTAATAATCAACTTTTATCGATGACAACTAACGATAGTTGCCATAGTTCAATCAAAGATTATTTATTGATAATAGAAAAAAAAAATATTCCTTCATATCTCGATATATATTTCTTATCACATTCAATAAAACAACAGGTGTACATTTTTTTTTTCAGTCAATCAATCTAAATAATGTAAATGTTCATATGTTCTTTTATAACGATATTCAAATTACTTATCAATACCTTTCCTAGTATTGAAAACTAATTGAAAAAAATTAATATAGAAAAAAGAAACTGAGACATCCTTGATAAAAATTTCATATTGCTGAATAATATTCATTTTTATTTGTAATTTGACTCGGTAATAGACGATAAAAGTGTGCTTTTTCTCTTCCTTATTCTTTCCCATCTACTCGACTTTTTCTTTTATTCTCTCTCTCTCTCTCTTTTCTCTCTTCAGTTTTTTTTTTTGTGTATATGAATCAGCAATTTTGCTGCTTGGCTTGTAATCGTTATATTACACCTCAAGCACGTTTTCTCTTTTCTTCTCTTTCTCTCGCTTATCTTCGCAATATTTTTCTTCTCCTTTACATCGACTCGACGTTATTATTTAAAATGCGCACATTCACGTCTACACGACAAAAGCACACCTATCTGTGAAACAGAGAAAGAGAGAGAGAGAGAGAAACGGAGATGGAGAAAGTAGCTTCCGTAGGTAAGTAAGACATAGTAACACACTTTTTTTATGCGTCAATTCTCTTCCCAAAAGACGAAAATGAGAGATCAAATGCTAATACAACTGATATAGATGGCATATGCAAGATGAGTAGGCTGCATATATACATATTGTGATTGATTCTCCATATATACTTAGTATTAGACTATGTATATTGTTCGAATAGTAGTGATTGCACAACAATCAACGACCGATTCGCTCAAAATGTGTGCCCCCTTTTTTCTATGTATACACACATGTAGTCGTATATTTATATATGTATACACATGTATATGAGTTTGTGTCTTTTATATAATCTTTCCTTGTGGCTACGTGTTGGTTGTCGTCATCATCATCATCATCATCATCATCATCATCAATGAACTGAGGGTGTGGGTATATCTGTATCGATAAATAATGATTGTATATTACGCCATATATGTGCTCATATGTTAATCTGTCTTTGCTTCTTTCTTGTGACCATCGATTCTCATTCAATATCTATAAATACACACACACGCACACACAGACACATTCTATGCCTCTTGGTCTCGTCTTCTGCTAGACAGACAGACACAAGAATCATGCATGATAGAAATCACATTTTGAAGAAATATAGGTAAGTGTTCTCTTGTTCGAACAGTTGAGACATATACTGACTAGCATCAGTTAAACAACCACTGTAGGCGTTGATTCAAGTGACCACTTCATTATTTCTTTTTCGTTTTGTACCATTACTCAGTTATATCGTTGTTCTCACCATTTCTATCTGGATGTATATAAATCGAAGAAAGACCGAGATGTGCACTAGTACTAAATGATTTATCGATCTTCCGATGCCGATTGCAGTTTAGTTTTTGTAGTATTAGTACTCCGTAGTAGTAAGTACTATCTTTCTCTTTTTTTTTTCTTCTGTTGCTGCTTACGATCATCATCATCATCGTTGCAAGAAGAAAGTACAGCATACAAATAAGAAATACCACCCACGCTTCTCGTCTCATCCAACATTCGATTTAGGATTAGTAGCAGTAGTACTAGTTGTTGTCATCTTACTGCATAAAAAAAAAAAAGAAGAAAACGACAAAGAAAAACGAGTCGACTGAGATGAGCTTTGATGCGTATACTTGCAAAGAGACGTGCGTGAGCTGTCCTTGATCGCATGTGTCTTATTCATTGCCATCATTCTTGATAATATATAAGAGCTAGTGAACATACATGGAAGAAATAGAGAGAAGAAAATTCGTATAAGATGTTCGCAGCTTCAATCTATAAATAATCGAGCGTCATTCTTTCTCATCATTG